GGAGCCCCGCTCTCCGCGCCCCGCCTGGCGGTTCTGCCCCGCCTCCGTCCCGCCTCGCCTGGCCTCCCGCACGGCCTCCCTCCTCGGTTGCAGCCGGGGCTTCCGCCTTCAGGTTCCCTGAGCTTGCGCCCTGCGCACGGCACTCAGCGCCCACTCGTGTCCCGCCCGGCTGAGTCGGGGAGAGGCCTCGCCCTCCTTGCCCTCGCCGGACTCTTGCACGTGCTGCACCCTGGCCCGGCTTTCCTGCCCCCCAAATAGCAGACGTATACTGGGCTCTGGTGAAGCTCGCAGTTCGCCGCGCACGCAGCAGGCCTGCCTGTGTGGACGCACAGGGGAGTCTCCCGGTTCCCCGTACCCGTTCCTCCTCCCCACTCTGCCTCCTCCTTCCCCCTTTCCCCTCCCGTTTTGGGTTCCTAGGGAACTGCACTCCCCTGGGGTGGGCATTCCAAAAGGATCTAATGACTAACTCCTGACAGGCAAAAGAAGGAGCAGCTGGACTCCGGTTGGAGTCTCATTGTCCTACTCCTTATCGTGACTGCGGCTAGCCACTCTTTTCTCAGGTTCCTGCATTCGTTCATCCTCTGACTCTACTGAGTACCGACCGTGTGCCAGGCAGTGATGGAGGCCTTGCCATTTAGCCAGGAGTGGGAGGAGAAGAGTGGGTCTTTTCGGAGGCAGGGCTTACCTCCTGGCCGCAGAGGCTGACAACCTTTATTTTCTCCCTTCCAGAAGTGCCGACCGGCGGGTCGCTCTGCAGCATGTCGCTGAATGCCTGGGAGTGGGAGGATGAGGACCCGGAGAGCATAGAGCCCATCTCCTCCATCACTAGCCTTTACCAGTCCACGAGTGAGTGTGATGTGGAGGAATACCTGAAGGCCAAGGCCAGAGCCCAGGAGTCCGACTCTGACCACCAGTGCAGCAGCCTTGAGTCTTCAGATGAGCCTGCCAGCTCCGATGCGCCCCATGTCGTCCCCTGCAAATTCATCATCTCACTGGCCTTCTCTGCGAATACAAGTAGGTGCTAGAGCAGAATTCTCACACCTTCTGCCAAAAGGAGGTGCATTAATGACTTTTTCCCCAGGAGTTTGGGGCACATATGCCCACATCCTCCCTCCACTTGCCTCCTCCCCTCCCCATAGGGTGGCCAGTGCCAGTCAGGAGCAGAGGTTAAAAAGAAAGAACAGGCCGGACTCGGTGGCTCAGCCTGTAATCCCAGCACTTTGGGAGGTCGAGGTCAGTGGATTGCCTGAGTCCGTGGGTTCGAGACCAGCCCAGGCAACTTGGCGAGACCTCATCTCTACAATAAAGATAAAAAATAGCTGGGCATGGTAGCTCGCATCTGTAGTCCTGGCTACTCGGAAGGCTGAGGCGGAAGGATCGCCGGAACCCAGCAGGTCGACGCTGGGGTGGCCGTGAGCCTGCGTGCCATTGCACTCCAGTCTGGGCAAAGGAGTGAGACTTCAACTCAAACAAACAAACAAACAAACAAACAAAACAGTTTTAGGGACCCAACTGTGGTTGCGTGGGTTTCACATACTTAATCCTCTCAACAGCCCTGAGAAGCAAGTGATGTTCTGTCTGGTTTTTACAGATGAAAAAAACTGCAGAGTGATTAAAACGTTGGTTCCCATGAGCTGGTTGGGCATCACATAATAACTTGTTTAAAATATATTTCCTCAGATCCGTAGAATCAAAGTCTCTGAGTGAGGAGGTGTATCAATTAGCTCTTGCCACAAAAACGCTGTGCAGCAAACCCAAACAAGTCCCCAAGCTCAGTGACTGCAAACAGTATCCAATGTTCTCCTGGACCGGCAAGTCAGTGATCTAGGCTGAGCTCTGCCACACTGGCTCTGCTCTGCTTCGTGTAATTCATCCTCCCAGACAGGTGGACTAGCCCAGACACCTTCTTATTATGGAAAGGCAGATATGCACAAAAGGGCTAACCCAGTCTCACAAATGCTTTTCAAGTCTTTGGGGATCTCCCATCTGCAAACGTTTTGTTGGCCAAAGCAAGTAACATGGCTCAGCACCACCTTGAGAGGCAGAGAAATGTCTTTCACCACTTGGTAAGTCTTGTTTTGTTTTGGTTTACATACTTGAACTAGCCCACCATGATGTGATTTATTTCAGCTTCTCCTTGAATTTTTTTTTTTGAGTTGGAGTCTCACTCCGTCTCCTAGGCTAAAGTGCAGTGGCACATTCATGGCCACCCCAGACTTGACTTGCTGGACTCTGGTGATCATTCTGCCTCAGTCTTCCAAACGCCCAGAGCTATAGGTACACGCTACCATGCCCGGCTAACAAAATCTGATATTCTCCTGGACTGGCAAGTCACTGATCTAGATTAGGGCTCTGTCCCAAATCAGAGGGTTCAATTTAAGCTCAAGGGCAGGCCTTAGTGTCTCCTCCAGCTCTTGCCTCTGGCCAAAGCCCAGCCTCACCTTCTGCATCCTGTCCCCCCATCCACCTCACTTTGGGCAGACAGCTTCATTCACAAGGCTAGACTTTTCCCTCTGCCTAGGATGTCTGCCAGCTTCACTCCTATCACACCCTATTAAGGTCTCCCCAGGAGGCTGTACCCCACTATCCCAGTCAGAGCTTGCTATGCCACCTCTGTTCTTCAGAATCTTATTCATGCTACTATCATTGCACAGGTTACGTTGTACTGTGGCTTCTTTTTTAACCTGCTTCTTAGGGCTGAGAGGGACTAGGGTAAAGCAAGCAAGGTGTCTAAGGTAAAAAATTTAAGGTGATACTCTCAGAGCCATCTGCTCTCCCACGCTGGTCCAGTGATGTGGGGTACGCAGCTGCCCACATCTCCAAGCTCTTTCTTGGCTCCAGGAGACAGCTCTGCTTTTCCTCCCAAGGTTAAAACAAGATTCCTTAAATCTGTATCTTCTAGGTCATAAAGGAAAATATGCAAGTGGGATAGAAAAATATAAGAAACACCCTAAAATGGACAGTCCTATTGCAAAGCTTCGTCAGTTCTACCACATTGAGTATTTCCTCCTGCCAGATGATGGAGAACCTAAAAAAGTTGACATAGTGCTGTTTCCATCGTTGGCCAAATTGTTCCTGGAGTCAGGAGTGAAGGTGTGTATGTTTCTGTGTGTGTGGCCTTGCGTATGGCCAAGTACTCATCGCAAAAAGTGTGCTCCTGCAGCACCGGCTTTACCTCAAGCTTGTGTACCTCGAGCTTGCTGGAAATGCAGCCTCCTGGGCCCTCCTCCTTAGAGGAATCTTTGTTGACCCAATAATACCAATAGTCTGTCTTTTCATTTAGACATTTTTACCCTGTGATTTCTGCAGCTCTTGAGACTTTTCTCTGTGTGTGTGTACATGTGTGTGTGCGTGCGCACACGTGGCCTGCCAGCGGTTTGGTCACTGCTTGGAAGTAATCAGAGAGGATGCTATTTGCAGGTAATTTTGATGACCTGACAGGGCTCAGTAAACAAGGCCCCATTTTCTGCTGAGTTCAGAGCCCCGAGAGAGCCAGGCGCAGAGGGCAGACCAGCAAAGTGAGAGCATGGCTCCGCTGCAGACAAGGGCCAGCTGGCACATGAGTTTTGCTGTGCGTGTTGCTGCCTCTGCCCATTTTTCCCCAGCTAAAGTCTCTGACTGTTGTTTCACACAGACCGTGAAGCCGTGGCTCGAAGGTGACAAAGTCTGGGTGTCGTGGATGCAAACTTTTAGCATCAACGTGACAAAGGAATTCTTAAAGAAAATAAATTTTCACAAAATCACCTTGAGACTTTGGGACACCAGGGACAATGTTTCCAAAAAAGTCAGGTATTACCGAATAAGGATGACTGGCTACTCAGACGACGTGGGATCTCTTGATAAGTCAGGTATTTCAGTTTTATTTGAAATGTTTTTAGAGGCTTGTGGCTTACTCACTAGTAATAGAATAAAAGCCAGTGTTCCCTTCCTTCCTTCACCTAATTTTCACGTGCATATGTTGGTTTCTGTGTCTGTGACATGTCATCCTGCCAGTCGTGTTGGGGAGTTGGGAAGTGCTGCCCAGGAAAGTTATGGCTTTGGTGGGTAGCAACTGTGTGCCCCCACCTTTTGGGCCCTTTTGTCCCAGGGCAGCTCTGATGTGAGCACCCATAGCTGGCCTGGACCGGTATTGTGTGTCCATTGAAAAAAAAAAATTAAGCTGGGCTCGGTGGCACAGCCTGTAATCCCGTGCCTTTGGGAGGCTGAGGTGAGTGGATTTCCTGAGTGGGTTCAAGACCCACCTGGGCAGGCGAGACCTCATCTCTACAATAAATCAAAAAATTAGTCGGGTGTGGTAGTGCATACCTGTAGTTCCAGCTATTTGGAAGGCTGAGGCGGAAGGATCGCCAGAGCCCAGCAGGTCGAGGCTGCGGTGGCTGGGAGTGGCCACTGCACTCCAGTCTGGGCGACAGAGTGAGATTCCAACTCAAAAAAAAAAAAAAAAAAAAAAATTAGAGGATACCAAGAAACAAAAGAGAAAACGTAAGAATTCTACCACCCTGAGACAACCACGTTAATGTTTTCTTTTTCTTCCTTTTCTTTTTTGAGTTGGAGTCTCACTCTGTCACCCAGGCTGAAGTGCAGTGGCACATTCATGGCTACCCCAGCGTTGACCTGCTGGGCTCTGGTGATCCTTCTGCCTCAGCCTTCCAAGTAGCCGTAACTATAGGTGTGCACTGTCATGCCCGGCTAATTTTTTTTAATCTTTTTTTTTTTAAATGAGAAAACAGAATTTATTGAGAGGACAGAAAAACTCCCACAGTGGAAGGGGACCCGAAGGGTTTGCCCCTAATTTTTTGATTTATTGTAGAGATGAGATCTTGCCAGTTTGTCCAGGCTGTCCTTGAACCCATGAACTCAGGCAGTCCTCTCACCTTGTCCTCTCAAAGTGCTGAGATTACAGGCTTGAGCCACCGTGCTCAGCCCATGTTAACATTTCCATGTTAACTAAACTCTTGTGCAAATATTATATCAATGTCAGAAAGTCTTCTGAATTCCCCTTGAAGGAGAGAGCCAGGAGTGGTGGAAAGACCCAGGCTTTGAAGTCAGACAGCTGAATTCAGTCCTATTTCCATCTTGTACTAGTTGGTGACCTTGGGCACATTCCTGCTTATCCATTTCTCAGCTGAAAAAAGGTAAAATGAATAGTATGCATAGTACCTACTTTACTGTACTGAAGGCAGGGTGGTGGGAGTGCTCCACCCTGGCACAAGCAACAAGGAGCGTGTACGTTGTCTATAGAGGATTTAAGAATTATAGTAAAATGCTACCAATTAAACTGGGACATGGCATTAAGTTTAAGATGCACCCTGATGTTTAGAGGTGCTAAAAGATGTGCATATGAAATCAGTGTACTATTATGGTTGTCACTATACCCCCTTTTCAGTGAGCAAACGGGAGAACTGTTGCCTGCTTGAAGTGTGGGATGGTGCCAGAATGGGAATCCAGTTCTGCACGACGGGAAAACATTGACTTCCAGTTTTTTCGCCTGCCTTCTCAAGGAGTCTTTCTCCCTTTGGAGGTCTGGGACTCCCACTTTTTAATCTTTTGTTTATATCCAGGCTCTAAACCACTTGCATGAGATGTCCTTGGTGTGACTGTCCAATGCAGATTCTAGGGCCTAACCTGGAGCTGCTGAACCAGAATTTCTGGTCAGCATCTGTCTTGAGGTAGGCTTTTTCTAGAACAGGGTGCTGAGGTAGGGGTATCATAAAGGCTGCCTGGAGGAGAAGCCATGGCAGCTAAGATTGTAAAGGTAGTGGGAATCAGGTAGCCAGAAAAGGAAGGAGGAAGGGCATTCTAGACCCTGTAGGAGAGTCCTTGGGCCTCTTGCTGTGAGTGTTCTTAAGATGATGGTACTTGGTCTTTCTTAAACTCTGTCTCAAGCCTGGCATCACTGCCTATTATTATTATTATTATTGTTATTTTGAGAAAGCAGGATTTCTTGAGAGGACAGAAAAGCTCCCAGAGTGGAAGGGTACCAGAGGGGGTTGCCCCACTGCCTCTTATTTTAAAAAGTGTTTCCCACTAAAAAAAAGCAGTGAACTGGGTGTGGTAGCTTGCTCCCATAGTCAGCTACTCGAGCCTGAGGTGGGAGGATCACTTGAGCCTAGGTGTTTAAGGCTGCAGTGAGCTATGATCAAGCCACTACACTCCAGCCTGGGTGACAGAGTAAGACCCCACCTCAAAAAAAAAAAAAAGCAGTGCATATTCACTTTGTGAAATAATCTAGGAATAGACTAACAAAAAGAAAAAATTAACATCACCTGATGTCTGCCCAGAGATAGCCATTTTTCCTGTGAATCCAGTGTTTTAAGTCCTGCCTTTCGTCTCTTAAAAAGATTTCTTATAGAAACTTCTTTCTTTGGAGTGTAGAAACACCATAAGAGGTCTCTTTCAGATTTCGAAAGGGATAGGCAATTTCTTCGGATGCCATGTAGGTCACATGCCAGAACTTTTAAACCTTTAGCCTGCTGGTCTTATACATAGCACCTTCCAACTAAAGTTAGCATGTTTTGGCTGCACTTGGTGGCTCAGCCTGTAATCCCAGCACTTTGGGAGGTCGAGGCGAGTGGATTGCCTGAGCCTGCGGGTTCGAGACCAGCCTGAGCAACTTGGCGAGACCTCATCTCTACAATAAATAAAAAATTAGCAGGCATGGTAGTGTGCACCTGTAGTTCCGGCTACTTGGAAGACTGAAGTAGAAGGCTCACCGGAGCCAGCAGGTGGACGCTGGGGTGGCCATGAGTGTGCCACTGCACTCCAGCCTGGGCGACAGAATGAGACTCCAACTCAAAAAAAAAAAAGAAAGCATATCTTTTTGCTTCAATCTTTTCATCCTCTTGGTTTCTCAGTAGTGGAAAAAGATCATGATCCTTGACGCCCCAAGTTGTATTTGACTCCTCCTAGGCTCTCGATTCTTGGCCAGCCCACCCAATACCTCACGGTGTCTCCCCATCTACTGTTCTTGGGCGGTCTCTGTCCTTCGGTGTCTTCTCCCTCCTGCCTCCTGCTCTCACTGCATTCAGGCTTTTTCCTGTCTCCTCTCTCCTGCCAATGCTGCCTGATTTTTCTGTATCACCTCACTGCCCTGGCGTTGCATTGCTCTGCAGCTTTTCACAACTTCCCGGTGCCTTGGAGAGCCAAGTCCAGGCTTCTAAGTCAGGCCTGGCAGGCATTTTGTAATCTGCTTCCCAAGGCTGCTTCTTATTGCCACTCCCCCTTCATGCTGTGGCCCATCTCCTGGCCCTTGAAGACACTAGACTTTCTTGGGATGGGGCCTGCTGTCAGGCAGCTGGGCATACCTTGGGGGCTCTCAGCCTCACATCTTTCTCCAAAAATGTAAACTATCCTTCAACACTGACTCAACCTTCACTTTCTTTTTGTTTTGTTTTTTGAGTTGGAGTCTCACTCTGTCGCCCAGACTGGAGGGCAGTGGCCACTCCCGGCCACCGCAGCCTGGACCTGCTGGGCTCCGGCGATCCTTCCGCCTCCGCCTTCCGAGTAGCCGGAATTACAGGCGTGTGCTACCATGCCTGGCTAATTTTTTGATTTATTGTAGAGATGAGGTCTCGCCTGCCCAGGTGGGTCTCGAACCCGTGGGCTCAGGCAGTCCACTCTCCTCAGCCTCCCAAAGGTTCAGGATTACAGGCTGAGCTACCCAGCCAGCTTCAACCTTCACTTTTTTCCCCCACCTCTTTCTTGTAACTTCTGTCATCTCCTTTCATTCATTATCTCCATTTGTTTATGACCCTATCTGTGCTTGGTTGCCATTATATGCATGTAAGGCCTCGTATTGATGGAAGTGAAGGGTATTGTGGGGCTGACTCCCTATCTGGGAACAAGAAGCTCTGGGTATAATTCTGGCTTTGCTAAGGACCAGCTTTCTGGCCACAGGAAAGTTACTTAAGTGTCAAATTCCTTGTCTGTAAAGTGAAGGAAATGGTAAGAAAAGGCAATACCTTCCTTTTTAAAGTGAAATGTGATGATTCAGTGGAACAACACAAGTCAAGTTCTTAGTGGTCTTTTTTTTTTTTTAAAAAAAACACCTAGACTCAAGTAATCTTTTTGCCTCAGCCTCCCAAGTAGCTGGGATACAGACAAGATTCATCATACTGGCTCATTTTAAAAATTTTTGTAGAGATTCGAACTTCTGGACTCAAGCAGGCCTCCCACCTTGGCCCTCCAAAATGCTGGGATTGTAGGGGTAAGCCACCACACCCAGCCTGGTTAGTGATCTTATTTGGGAGAAGTCATTGCCAGTTAAGGTCTAAGAACCTCTTCCAAACGTGTGTGGTTATTCTTTTGAGTTTCCTGGTATTTGGAGGCAGCTTCCTAGGCAGCAGCTCTAGGAAGGCACCGACCTCATCTATCCTATCCACTGCTTTACCTTCATCACGAGAAAAGTGATTGTCACATACAGGCATACCTAGATTTATTGCACTTTGTTTTATTGTGTTTCATAGTTGTCACCTTTTTTACAAATTGAAGTTTGTGGCAACCCTGTATTGAGCAAGTCTATTGCTGCCATTTTCCCAACAGCATCATGTGCTCAATTTGTGTCTCTGTGTCACATTTTGGTAATCCTTCCAACATTTCAAGCTTTTTCATTATTATATCTATTATGGTGATCTGTGATCAGTGATCTTTGATGTGACTATTGTAAATGTTTTGGGGTGCCATGAACCGTGCCCATATAAGAACAGCAAAAAACATTTTTTTTTTGAGTTAAGAGTCTCACTTTGTCACCTAGGCTGTAGTGCAGTGGCATGTTCACAATAACCCCAGTGTCAACCTGCTGGGCTCAGATGATCCTTCCACCTCAGCCTTCCAAGTAGCTGGAACTACAGGCGCATGCTACCATGCCTGGCTAATTTTTTGATTTATTGTAGAGATGAGGGCTCGCCAAGTTGCCTAGGCTGTTTTTGAACCCGTGGGCTCAGGCAATCCTCTCACCTTGGCCTCCTAAAGTGCTGGGATTACAGGCTTGAGCCACCACGCCTGGCCAGAAATTTAATTGATAAATGTTGTATGTGTTCTGACTGCTCCACTGACTACCCATTTCCCTGTCTCTCTCCCTTTCCTCAGGCCTCCCTACTCCCTGAGACACAACAATATTGAGGTTAGGCCAATTAGTAACCCTAACCCTACAGTGGCCTCTAAGTTTTCAAGTGAAAGCAAGAGTCACATATCTCTCACCTAAAATCAAAAGCTAGAAGATTGACCAGGCTCAGTGGCTCAGTCTGTAATCCCAGTACTTTGGGAAGCCAAGGCAAGTGGATTGCCTGAGCCTGCGGGTTCGAGTCAGCCTGGGCAACTTGGTGAGACTTTGTCTCTACAATAAAATCAAAACTTAGCCAGGTGTGGTAGCACATGCCTGTAGTTCTTGTTACTTGGAAGGCTGAGGCAGAAGGATCACTGGAGCCCAGCAGGTCAATGCTGGGGTGGCTGTGAGCGTGCCACTGCACTCCAGACTGGGCCACTGCACTCCAGACTGGAGTGAGACTCCAACTCAAAAGAAAAGAAAATCAGCCAGGCTCGGTGGCTCAGCCTGTAATCCTGTGCCTTTGGGAGGCTGAGGTGAGTGGATTGCCTGAGCCCGCGGGTTCGAGACCCGCCTGGGCAGCAACACCTCATCTCTACAATAAATCAAAAAATCAGCCGGGCGTGGTAGCGCGTGCCTGTAATTCTGGCTACTCGGAAGGCTAAGGCGGAAGGATCGCCGGGGCCCAACAGGTCGAGGCTGCGGTGGCCGGGAGCGGCCACTGCACTCCAGTCTGGGTGACAGAGTGAGACTCCAACTCAAAAAAAAAAAAAAAAAAAAAAAGAAAAGAAAAGAAAATCAAACCAGCCACGACATTCCTTTAAGCTGTAGCCTAATCCAGAACAAGGCCCTAACTCTCTTCAATTCTGTGAAGGTTGAGAGAGAGGTGAGGAAGCTGTAGAAGAAAAGTTGGAAGCTAGAGAGGACAGTTCATGGCATTTTAAAAAAGAAGCTGACTCTGTAACAGAAAGTACAAGGTGAAGCTGCAAGTGCTGGTGAAGGAGCTGCCGCAAGTTATCCAGAAGATCTAGCTAAGATAATAGGTGATGGTGGCTACACGGAACTACAGATTTTCAATGTTGATGGAACAGACTTATATTGGAAGAAGAAGTCATCCAGGACTCTCATAGCTTGAGGGAGGAAGTCAATGGCTGACTACAAAGCTTCAAAGGACAGCAGGTTGACTCTTTCTTAGGGATCAACACAGCTGATGTCTTTAAACTGAATCCAGTGTTCATCTGCCGTTCCCAAAACCCTAAGGCCCTTATGAATGTTGCTAAATCTACCCTGCCTGCATGCTAATAATGGAACAACAAAGCCTGGATGACAGCACATCTGTTCACAGCATGGTTTACTGATCATTTTAAGTCCACTGTTGAGATCTACTACTTAGAAAGAAAGATTCCTTACAAAAGTGCCAATGATTGACAGTATACCTGGTCACCCAAGCGCTCTGATGGAGATGTACAAGGAGATGAATGTTGTTTTCATGCCTGCTAACACAGCATCCCTTCTTCAGCCTGTGGACCAAGGAGTAAATTTGATTTTACATCTCATTATTTAAGAAATATATTTGATGAGGCTGCAGCTGCCATAGATGGTGATTCCTCTGATGGATACTGGCAAGGTACATTGAAAACTTTCTGGAAGTGAACACATCATTCTGGATGTCATTAAGAACATTCATGACTCATGAGCAGAGGTCAAAATAGTAACATTAACCACAGTTTAGAAGTTGATTTCAGCCCTCCTGAATGACTTTGGGGAGTTCAAGACTTCAGTGGAGGAAGTTAGATATGTTAGAAATAGCAAGAGAACTAGAATTAGAAGTGGAGCCTGACGATGTAACTGAATTGCTGCAATCTCATGATAAAACTTGAACAGATGAGCATTTCTTCATATGAATGAGCAAAGAAAGTGTTTCCTTGAGAAGGGATATACTCTTGGTGAAGATGCTGTGAACATTATTAAAATGACAGCAAAGGATTATTCTAAAATATTTCATAAACTTAGTTGATAAAGCAGTGGCAGGGTTTGAGAGGATCAACTCTAATTTTGAAAGAAATTTTAACGTGGGCAAAATGCTATCCAACAGCATCACATGCTACAGAGAAATCTTTCACAAAAGAAAGAGTCCTCCAATGTGGTAAACTTCACTGTGGCCTTATTTTAAGAAATTGCCACAGCCACCCCAACCTTCTGCAACCACCACCCTGATTAGTCAGCACCCATCAACATTGAGGCAAGGCCCTCCCCCAGCAAAAAGATTACAACTTGCTGAAGGCTCAGAGGATTGTTAGCATCTTTTAGCAATAAAGTATTTTAAATTAAGGTGTGTATGTTACATTGATTTTTAAAGAGATAATGCTGTTGCACACTTAACAGACTACAGTATAGTGTAAACATACTTTTATGTGCATTGGGAAACCAAAAAATTTGTGTGACTCACTTATTTATTTATTATTGTGATATTTACTTTATTGTGGCATTCTGAAACTGAACCATAGTATCCCTGAGGCATGCCTATAATATATATTCAGTCATTATTTCTGATTGATTGAGTCAGTGATCATTTTTTATCTGGAATTCTAGAGGAAGTGAGGCATTTGGTTTTAAATCAGAGAAGATTATCTGAACAGAGCACTGAGAAAGCCACCATTTTCAGAGAGGAGTGGAATCAGAAGTATCCACCAGGAAATCAAGAAAAAACAGAAAAACATTCAAAGTCTTTGCAAGGTGAGTGGAGACAACTTTGTGGACAAGCTGAGTACAAGACTATGGTAGGGAACGTGGTTGACTGGTGCCTCTGGTGACGTGCATGTATACTGGTACCCCTCCTGTATCAGCCACTGCAGCTGGCGTGGATCATCGTGCCAAGGCAATACTGCTCTTGATGTATGGCTCACTTTTTGTTGTTGGTTCTTTTTCTTTTTTTTTTTTTAACTTAATTTTTGTTTGTTCTGTGACTTTCCAGAAACTTTCTGCTCATTGACGTGTACCTGGTCACCCAGGAACTTGGGAATCTTGGGAGTGTTTTCATGTATTCATATATTTTTATTATTTTCTGACTATAGAAGCTATATATGTGGTTTTAAGAAAATTCAGTGAATATAAAAGGTATAAAACAAGCAGGGAAAATTCTCTATAACTCTTTCACCAGGAACAATGTAATATTTTGGTTATTATATTATGGCAATTTTTTTGTGTTTTAGAATTTTTTTGTACATACATGAGGATATATACTTCTATATTCTGAGATTATTAATATGTCATAACATACATTTTTCATAAACTTAATTTTTCCACATATAAATATTCTGTAAACTTTACTTGGGGTGACTACATAGTGTTTAATCTGCTGATAGGACTGCAATTTTCTTTTCTTTTTTTTTTTTTTTTTGCGTTGGAGTCTTACTTCATTGCCCGGGTGGGAGTGCAGTGACACACTCATGACCACCCTAGCATCGACCTGCTGGGCTCTGATGATCCTTCTGCCTCAACCTTCCAAGTGGCTGGAACTACAGGTGTTCACTACCATGCCTGGCTAATTTTTGACTTATGGTAGAGATGAGGTCTTGCCAAGTTGCCCAGGCTGGTCTTGAACCCATGGGCTCAGGCAATCCACTTGCCTTGACCTCCCAAAGTGCTGGGATTACAGGCTGAATCACTGAACCCAGCCTAGGACTACACTTTTTATAACCATTTCTTATGGTGGGAGTTTGGGAATCTTGGGAGTGTTTTCATTATTATCAAATGTAAACCGTGCTGAAGTGGACAATTTAACTTTTTTTCTTTTTTTTTTCCTCTGTGGGGGGTGTTATAAAAGGAACTTGAGGCCTCCTCTTGTCTCCATTTCTCCAAATACTGAAAGTTAGCCTGTATATTTATTCATTCATTCACTCATTTATTAACAGCAAACCTTTTTACTGAATGCTTACCATGTACCAGGCCTTCTGTCTGAAAACTGGGATTACAGAAATGTGTAAGGGGCCCTTGTTTCTTAGTGAACTGGAATGGAGCAAGAAGTTTGGAGACATTTCCTAATATTTTCAGGTTTTCACCAAGCAGAGCTTGAAACGTCTTCCAAGAACGGTGAGGAATATGAAAAGTCACTCAAATCGGATGATCCTTCCACAGTCCGGTAAGGCTTGAACCATGCTGTTTTGGAAAGTGGAAGTGGAGCCCTTCTTGTGCATGTCCTACCTTAAGTCATCTATGACCATCTATCCATCTGTTCATCTCTATCCCCATCTGTATAAGTTAGGTTTTTGTAGTAGGTCTGATTAAGTCGGCGCTCATGAAAATCCAGGTGAAATTAAAAGAACGGGAAAAGGGAAGCTTGGGTTTATGAGTATATGTTGTACATCAGGCTTTCTGTATGTATTTTTTTTTATCTCATTTAAATCTTATCATGATAACTTTGTGAGGTGGCATTACTATCTCCATTTTCTATGCAAGGTGACTGAGTAGTTAAATGATTTGTGCAAACTTATGAAAGCAGAGTTCTTGATTAAACCAGGATTCCAACCTACTTCTTCAGAATCCTGAATTTATGACTTTTCCTACTGTGACTACAGTTTGTTTTAGGCCCTCTGTCAGAGTGAGAAGAGTCTGGAAAAGTAGGGTCTGGAGAAGGATGCTGTGAGGACCAGGGAGAGAATGGAAGCCCAGCTGGTGGTTTGGGGGAATAGGATGGGAAGAACCAAGAGAATATGTTATTAAACAATCCTGCTTTTTTTTTTTCTTTTTGAGTTGGAGTCTCACTCTGTCACCCAGGCTGGAGTGCAGTGGCACACTCATGGCCATTGCAGCCTCGACCTTCTGGGCTGGACTCAGGCAATTCTTCCACCTTAACCTCCTAATTAGCTGAAACTACAGGCATCCGCCACCATGCCCAGCTAATTTTTTGATGTATTGCAGAGAAGAAGTCTCACCAAGTTGCCCAGGCTGTTCTTGAACTCCTGGGCTCAGGCAGTCCTCTCACCTCTGCTTCCCAAAGTGCTGGGATTACAGACTTGAGTCACCATGCCTGGCCTAATTCTGCTTTTTAAAAATTGTTTTTGTATTGAATTTATAGATTAATTTGGGAAGAATTGACATTTTTATGTTGTCAGGTTATTCCATCCATGATCATGGTATACCTTTTTACTTAATTCCAACCTTTCTTTATATCCTTTAAATAAGTTTTTTTTTTTTTCTTCTCCTAGATGTTTTGGATAATTCCTATTAGTGTTTTAAGGTTTTGGTTGCTTTTATTTTATTTTTTTTTATTTTTGGTTTTTTTTTTTTTTTTGGCAATTTAAATAATTTTTTAAATGTAAAGATGTGGGATACCATTCAGGGTTAGGTATACAAACATTGATCATGCAGGTACTCCTGGTTGCTTTTATAAAAATATATTCTTTTCCATTATATTTTCAAGTTGGTTAGACTTCAAAGGTATAGTCTGCGGATAAAGTGTCAGCATTACTGGGGATCTTGGAAGAAATGTAAGAAATTTCAGTCATGCCCCAGGCTTAGCTGAGCTATACTCAGCCATTTATTTGATAATAACCCCAGGTGTTCCATATGTACACTGAAAGAGGAAAAGCACTGGGTTAGAGGAATGCAATGTCATTTGAAGAATAGATTCTCAGATCCAGTCCCTAATTTTTTTCACCTGCATTAACTTTTCTCTTTGTGGATTTTCTAGATGGAGTTCTCCAAGAACACCAACTGTTTCTTTGGCAGGAGCAACCATGATGGAGATCAAGGAATTACTTGAGAGAGCATCATTTAGCAGCTTCACAAACATGTTAGACAGACAAAAGTCTCAAAGTAAGTCAGGATGGGATTTTGGAATTTTATAATATAACTGGTTTGGAAGAATTATGAAATATCTTAAATTCAGTAAGATTCTTTTGTATTTGATCAAATGTTACTCAGAAGTGAAAGACTGGGTGCAGTGCTTCATGACTGTAATCTCAGCACTTTGGGAGGCTGAGGCAGGCAGATTGCCAGGAGCTGAAGATCGGCCTAGGAAACCTAGTGCATCCTCGTCTCTGCAGAAAATAGAAAAATTAATCAAGCATGGTAGCTCACACCTATAGTCGCAGCTACTTGGGAGGGTGAGGCAGAAGGATCACCTGAGCCTAGGAAATTGAGGCTGTGGTGAGCCATGATCATGTCACTGCAGTCCAGCCTGGGCAGCAGAATTAGACTCTGATTCCAAGAGCAAAAAACAAAACAAAAAAAAATGAAACAAAGTAAAAGAATACTGTACACATTTACACATTTTCAGCTTAACCACCCCATCCCTACTGTCCATCCATCTATTCTCATCTATCCATCCCTGTTCATTCATTCATCCATCTATCCATCTGTGTCCCCACCTATATTTATCCATTCCTCCATTGACCCTCCATCCCTGCCATCCATCCATTTGGCCTGTCACTTCTCATCTCATTCTCTCACCTTCATCATCCCATCCATCCACCTTGTCTATCTCATTTCACTCTACACACACACACACACACACACACACACACACACACACACACACACACATTTGAGTTAGGGTCTCACTTTGTCACCCAGGTTGGAGTGCAGTGGCATGATCACAGCTGACTGAAGCCTTGACCACTTGGACTTAAGTGATCCTCCAGCCTCAGAATCACAAGTAGCTGGGACTGCAGGCGCATACCATCATGCCTGGCTTATTTTTTTATTTCTGTGGAGATGAGGTCTCACTATGTTGCACAGGCTGGTCTCAAAATCTTGGACTCAAGCAGTCCTTCCACCTTGACTTCCCAAAGTGCTGGGATTACAGATGTGAGCCACCACACCCAGCCTAAGAGGGACTTTCAAATAAAGAATTTAAATTCTGTTATAGATGCCATGGTAAGGGTGGGTATGTGGTATGTTGGGGAAGGACAAAAGAGTGGGGATATGGAAGGACTCTCCTCCTTGAAAGATAAGCAGATATTTGCTTCTTAAGAAGTTGAGTTTCTAGTATGAGGTGGAAAAATTCTAGTCAGTAGGTGTAGCTGCAGTCTCCTGGAGTGGGCCATTTCATGTTTGTTCAGCTATTACTGCTCCAGACAGATCAAGTCCTTATCTCTCAATCAGTTACCTGTTTTTTCCTAACATTGGCCTGGTTCTAGGGCAACAATCTGAGGGAACAGAGAGAAGTGCCTGTCTGAGCCCGGCTCGCTGCTGGTTGGAGACACTGTTGAATACAACTCATTACTATTCTTTTTTAAGTTCTGTAAGCACTATCCACACTTCCACATCTGAACACCTCTCACCACCTTCTGAATTTTCTCTTTTCTAGATTCAACAGGGTCACTATTTTTAAAATGTGCTTTGAACATTTTAATGAAGTTTTTATTTTATTATTTATTTATTTATTTATTTTTGAGTTGGAGTCTCACTCTGTCGCCCAGACTGGAGTGCAGTGGCCACTCCCGGCCACTGCAGCCTCGACCTGCTGGGCTCCGGCAATCCTTC